TGATGGCACGCAGAACCACTCTAAACATGTCAATAGTCAATAGAATTGAATAGATGATTCGGCATAGAGACTTTTCTACTTTTTGTTGATTCAACTTGATTGCGATTGTGATAGCGCTTGATTACGGCCAGAGCGAGTTACAAGCATTAGTTGGTACACCCATGAACTGTTGAAATACAGACCTCTAAGTTAGACTCGAGACGCAAGGAGCGCGTCAGCTTAATGATAATAACCCAGATCGAGTTAATCCATGTAGTCTCCCTTGGGGGCTAGCTGTGATTGCTCTTTATCAACTCCTCTAGCACCCGCAAGGGATCTAAGAAAAAAAAAAAAAAAAAAAGCATCTCAAGCTCGCAATTGGTTGGAATCTCAGAATCGCCCAAAAGTGCAAAAAGTGGGAGAAGGGAGGGACCATACTACCATAGTGCTTTGTGTCAGGACTGGTTAATCCAAGACAAAACAAAGGGTGTACTTTTCAATGCAAGACATGAGGACGGATCTGTGGCGCTATGAAGAACACTGTCGGAATTCTTTTTTTTCCCTTTGTCAATGACCAGTCATTCCCACTTTACGAGTTTGAGTGCATACTCACGCTACTAGTACGCTAGAATTTTGTGTTACTTGTTTCTGGACGGACTTGCCGCCTGATCCAGACAGCCAGGGCCGTAAATGTCGTCAAATACATTTATCAAGGATGAGTACGCCCTGAGCTTCATCTCACAGTTCACTGTTCCATAGGACGATTCGAAAGCCAGTGAGTTGTATTTATCTCGGAGCCCCCTCTAATTTCCTAAATTTTAATTTCCTAAATTCTACTTTCCTAAATTTTATTATTATTTTTATTATTATTTTTTTTAATTTCCTAAATTTTAATTTCCCATTTTGATTGGAGCTTGGGACCGGACTGCCTCAAGCTCGACTTGGCTAATCGGGTAATACCCGCTATCTGGCAGCCCTTGGGAAACACGAATTTGATTTTTTTTAAATTGAAAAAAAACTCCACCCATCAGACCTGGAACGATACAGAGCAGATTAGCATGTTAGTTAGAGAAAGAAAAATCGCAAGGGCAAGCCAACTGTGATACACGCGAAGCCACGCATAGTAATGGGTGCCACCGTGCCAAAGAGAAAATTTAATCTCATTCCAAAATCGGAAGCCCAGATCGGATCCACTCAAAGCCAGGCATAATAATTGGGTGCGTGACAGATTTTGCAAGCAAGATCGCCGTCACGATGACACGCATAAATCCATTTTTTTATTGTTGTTTTTATTTTTATTTTGATCGATATATATGGTGAAATAAGAAAGAGTCCTTTTTCGTTGAGTAATAAAGGGACAGTTTTYTTGTTTAAAAAAAAAAAAAAAAAAAAAAAAAAAAAAAGAGTCCTATGTCCGCCCGCAGGCGAGTGCCTCCGAGGCTCCGAACGAAAAGAGAGACGAACTTCAAGAAGGAAACTTTTTTCCAAGGCAAACCCAACTTTAGAGATGGGGTAGCCACACTATAGAAGTTGATAAAAGTTGATAGAACCACCAACCAACCAACCTACCGTCCCGTGTTCGAATCCAGCCGCAATCAGACGAAAAAATCCAGTCGAAATACAGTCCCGAGTCTGGAGCAGGCTCCGCAGGGCGTTCCAATGATGATATCTCAAGTCTCAAGGCCGTACCCCGCATGATCTGTCGTGAACACGGTTCTGGCTGCTACGGGGTTCCCCGTATGCTTATAATTAATTAGGAGTAGTGGTAGGTAGGTAGTGTGAGGTGAAATTGAGAGAAGAACATAGCTTTTGAAAAAAAAACGAAAAAAAAAGGGGAAAACACATAGAGGCACGAATACCACCAAGAATCCTGACAAGCTAGGGACATCAGATAGTCGCTCCAGAGGAGAGGTGGGTAAAAGAAGATTTAAAACCAGGAACGCACCAGCTCATTTGGCTGAATCAGCCTGAATGGCTGAATGGCTGACATGTGCAGCTGTTGATAAACAGGTCATAAGCTCGAGAGGTGGAGAATCAGATGGATACAGCAAGGCAGGAAAGTGAAAAAAGCGCAGGCGTTCGAGGACTGTAATACACAGATCGACGGGTGAGGGGGACAGGAGGGGACACAAAGCGGCGGGCGCACATCACATCCAGGGCCGACGGTACGGGATCAACCTCTTGATGCGTCGGTAAGAATCCGGCGAAACGATCTGGCACAGTTGTGCAATTTTTGTGGAGTTGTGTGTAGAGCACACATGACAAAAAAAGGCAACCGAAAGAAAGACGAGGTCACACAACGAGATACTTTTGTTCTTGCACTGGAAGAACAGTGGCTAGCAGCGCACTCACAAAAAACACTCCCGCAAGGAAAGATAAGGACAACGAAGCAAAACACACACACACACACACACACACACACACACACAAACACAGACAGAGAGAGAGAGAGAGAGAGAGAGAGAGAGAGAGAGAGAGAGAGAGAGAGAGAGAGAGAGAGAGAGAGAGAGAGAGAGAGAGA